TTAGTACTTATCCAAATAAAAGTAAATTTAGGAACAGAGAAAAGACTTGCTGGATTAGCTATCATATATAGCATCTGCTATAGACTCCCTCAGAGCAGCCATCTCAGCTGCACCCTCACCGTCCTGAGTTTCATATTCAATTGAGTCCATCTCATTATCAGCTAGAGATCCTGAAGGTTCTAGAGTGTCAATAATTTGATCATCATCAACCATATTGAAGTCCGTATCTGAATTAGAGGGGTGATGTTAGATGAAGTTGTGAAGTGTCATAGTGACCAACACAATATACACCTGTTTGGGAAATAAATAGAATTACATATCACGTAGGATTACCCATTTCTTTTTCCACACGCCAAAAGTTCTTTCAATAACCCCCCGTAAAGCGGAGTGTCGTTTGTTAAACATTTCTTTTCTGCCACAAATATTGCCACTTGCTCGTTCAAAATCAGGAATATGGTATCTTGTGTCTGGATAGGGCTTCAGGTAGCCCCTTAACATCGAATATCCAACGTCTACCAAATAATACTTTCCTGTTATTAAAGATAATATTAATTAAAAATAATTAATGTAATTAACGAGAGGTTTAAGTAAGATGAGCAAACCTGGAGGTGGGTGAGGGAAACACTGTGTTATATTCCTAGTTGCATAGGAAAAAAAAACGACTATCATGCACACTTCCTTCCCACCCCGCCATTTCAAATATCTGAGATGCCTAAAAATATCTCAGATAAAATGCCACATATCCACACTTCTAAACATAAACACAAATCCAACAACCAGGTGTCTAGGATCACAGCTAGCAACATAAATCCAATAGCCAGGTAAAATGCCAACCTATCTCAAATGCCCTAAAAACCAAAAACCAGAGAAAATGCTATAACCTGCGATCTAACATTTGCCATAAACAACTAATGCCATAGATCTAAAATATCGGCGCTTGTATGGATCAGAAAGGAAACCAGCGATCGTTTCTTGCATAGATCAGGGCAAAGAAAGCATTCCAGGAAAATCGAATGGATACCTGATTATCAACAAAGAAAATAAAGGAAGAAGGTTTGATCTCCTCTAGGGCAACAAACAAGAAAGGAAACCAATGAGGGAGACAGCAAGGGATATCAAGGACACCTCCAGAATTCCTAGGGGTAACGCAAATCTCTAACGCCGGACGCGGGGCTCACACAGCGACTTCGTCCCTATTTGTTTTATCGGATGCTGACACGTAGTGATGAGAAAACACCAACCGAACGCACATATCAAACAGAAATGTGACGTTCTCATAACGCCGCCGCTCCCAATAAGCACCCCCAAACGGACCCTTAATTGAAGTCTGAATGTTTCTTACTCAAAGAATTATCTCGAGATTCGTGTCATTTCTTGAGATTCATGACAAATGATGAAAATTTATTTATGATGTACAGTTGCCACATAATTTTTGGACTAGCTCAATTTCATCATCTGAAAATAATAATATCTGTAATTACATTATCAATACAACATTTAGGCGCAGCAACAATTATGACCTGAGTTCAGCAATATACAAAGCACTCGCTGTGTGGGTTTTCATGCAACATTCGCGACTCGAGAAAAAAATCGTTACTTTAACAAAATGTTAGAATCCGTAGGGTCACCAGTCCAGATGTTCTGCAGATGCTTTCTTTTCTGAAACTGGGTGACGACATTGCTCGCTCTCTCTCTCTCCCTTATATTCTTAGGCTCTAATCCGATACACGAACTCCCTCTCCGAAAACCTTAGGTCTCTGATGGATTCTCAGATCCTGGTGGCCCTGTCCCTTTCACTCGTGGGTGGCCTCAGTACATCGGCAGGTTTGCTCCTTCGTAGACTTTTTGATAGTTGTTGTTACGATACTGGCCGAGGTCTTTTGTTAATTATGGTATTTATTGAGCTGTTAAGCATTCGATCTGTTAAGTTTAGGAACTCTGTATCTATATGAGTCCAGTTCCTAATATGCGAGTCGAATTCTCGAACCACATGAATTTATATGATCCTCTTCACCTTCGTTGAGCATCGGTTAAGTTCCTTTTAAACTAATAATTTATTTATACCATTCAAATTTCTTGAAAACATTTTCTCCTTCAATGGATACTGTTATTGTTAGAGAAAAGAAATGAAAGTAGGCTAGCTGCTGGCTTTATCATAAATATACAGCCATTAGTTGCCTTCACTTTGAATCTCCATTTTCATGTAAATTCTGTTATTCTGTGTAAACCTGAGTTTTTTTTTTTTTGGTACTTTTTGTCTAGATTATGAGAATTTCTAACTGAGGCAAAACTTTGTTTTCTCCAATTTGGAAAGTGTTTGAGAATTTGGAAATTCTGCCGACCTATCTTTCTTTGGACCTGGAAATTCTTTATGAAGGCAAACATGCATTTTGGATTTGGTAACCACATTTATTTTATTTGAATATCCGTTTGTGTTGTTTCTTTGTTTCAGAGGCATTGTTATTGTTTCATCTTGTTACCATTATTAGTCAAAAGTGAAACAGAAATAAAAAAAAAAAAATTGAATGAAAAATAGTTGAAAAACAATGATCATTGAAGAATTTGTAGAAGTTAACATACATATAAATATCTTCTTTAATACTTCATAGCTGCCATTATGTATACAAAAGGCAGAATGGAATAGCTATTTTCTGTTTATTATAGCATGGATCCCCATGTTAAGCCTGGAACATAGATCAAGGTACAAAATAGAAGGTTAATCATCATTGTTCTTCCATTTTAAAATTTTGGCAGAGGGGTAACCAATTAGATCTATTTCCCAAAATACTTTGGTTTATCTATATAAAATTTTGTCAGAAATTAAGAATAAATAGTGACAATAATTATATTATAGAATTAACAAAAAAAGTTGAGTTGAGTTAGCTGTGAAAAAATGTGTCATGGTAAAGGTTTAGGTTTAGATGAGTTGCTACTCGATATTTTGAGATGTATAGGAAGTATTAGTATAGTTTCATTAATATATATCCCCAATCGAATCTTAAAGATTATGAGGATGCATATGATTGGATAATAAAACTTTTGGCAGCAATATTTATGGTTTTGATGTTAGAATTGTCCTAATTATTAAGAAACGTTCCTTATGAGTTGTTCTATGAAGTTATAGTATCGCGTAATGGAACATCGACTTGAGAAGTTATAATTCTATTCAAGAATCCATTTGATTTTATCTGATATTAAGTATCACACAAATTGATTTATTGTGCATTACGTAAGAAAATTGTGTGCATTAAATATATTCAAATATATATGATAGAGTATTAAATAGCATCATAAACAGTTATATCTTGATAGAAGAATACTAAAATTGTTACTCAGTCATTGTAGAATTATAATCAAGGATCAATATGAAGATGATTTTTTTTAATTGAAGATGTTAATTGGAATTATTCAAAGTGAATTGCTTTGGTGTATTTTTTTTGCAAAAAGTGAAACGCCTTATGAAATATGTGAGAGGTTAGAACATTATAAAAATTTTATAGAAGATAAGTGGCTCAAAATTAGTAGAACAAAACCTAATCATATGGAATACAATTTTGCATATGATATACAATTTTAATTGAAGTTGATAATTATGAGTTAATTTTGTTAAATTATAAGATAATACATGCTCTAAGATGTTAAATATCTTAAAATTATTATATAAAAGTGTCAGGATGTGGATGAGAGTGTAGCTCCTACAATAACAATAATAACAACAACAAGCCTTTATCCCACTAAGTGGGGTCGACTACATGAATCCTTTTTCTCCATTGCGTCTTATTGAGTGTCATTTTTTCATTTAATTCTAATAAATTAAGATCATTTTTTTTATACAATATACCCAAGTCATTTTAGGTTTACCTCTGCCTTTCTTAACATAAGTTTAATCTAAAGCATCTACTCTTCTAATCAGATTATTTGATTGTGGACATTTAATATGACCAAACCATCTAACACGAATCTCTCTTGTCTTTCACTGGAGCTACACCAACCCTGTCACAGATATATTCATTTCGCATTTTGTCTCTAAGTGTCAAGCCACTCATCACCTAAGCATTTGGTCTCTAAGTTTGTTTTATAGAGTGTAGAGTAATAAAAACTGATTAAAGGTGGAAGTACTTTGAGAGTGTTATGTAATAAAAGAATATTATAGTGGCCTAAAAATAAATTTTAGAAAACAATGATAAAAGTGGCTATGTTAATTGAATTTATTGCTGGCCAATAAAGAAGTCACATGTTGGTAAGTTGATAGATGCATTGTAAAGTTAGGAAGTTAGATTGAGGAATGATTATAAAAGAGAATACTAGACAAGTATTACCTATTAAAGATTATGTAGTGGAAATTAAACATAGATGATTTCGACATACACAACAATGGATAGAAGATGTACTAATAAGATAGGTGTATGAAGTTAATTTAAAAGGATTTGAAAGAAAAATGGGTAGACTAAAGGTTATATCTATGAAGTTACGCTAAAGAATCTTTGCAAAATATATTGAGCACTTTAAAATACCCTCAGTAAGTTTGCATAAAGAGTCAAGATTCATGGGATAATGCTAATGATGATGTGGTTTGCTGCATGATGTAATTTATAAGGCCCTATATCTAATTGCTTTGCTACTTTATTTGATGTTTGAATATAAGAGCACGCTAATATCTAACATATTTTTTGGCTATTGTTGAAACTAGGAAACACTTTAAAATACTTGGATTATGGATTCATCATTCTCTTTTCTTGAAGATTTATAAATTATATAGAATTTGATGTTAAAAAAAATTTCACTTGCTTTCTTAAAGGATTATATTATATGCTAAACTTTTAATTATTGAAGCATGCTAATAAGATGCATTAGTTAAATTATTTTAATGCAAGCAATGCAAAATAAATTATTATTAGGTTAGTATATTAGTATAAATTTGGCATGCCACAGTAATCATCACTTGCTTATATTAACTATGATAGCTAAAAACTCACACGTTCCTCTTTAGAAGTTGGCTTAGGTTGCTGTTGGGAAGATATGTGAAGTTATTCAATTGGTTACTATTTCAAATCTATTGTGAATTGTATTTATTTTTTGAAAATTCATGTTTTACCTTCTCTACCCATAATGATTTATCCAAAAATCTTGGATTTTTTGCATACAATAATGGGATTATGTTTTTATAAAACTTTTGAAATATAATCTCCTAGACCATTTTACATTCAGTACACTTTCATTAGTCATAAAATTAAGTCTGGTTGTGTGGGAATTTCAGGTGAATTTTTTTTGAAAGCATGTTCATATGCTTGTGAATTTCTAATTTTTTCTATCTTAAATTGTTAAGATGGTCCAAAATTTTATTTACATTTTTTAATTGTAAAGGTGCACTATTAGTGATTCTAAACCCTGCTCCAAACCTTAAGATGCTTGGGCTTTTGCAGGTAATCATTGTACTTCATACATGAATATTATTGAGTGTACTTTCTGCATTTGTTTTAATTATTATTATTATTTGAATGCTAACCATCATGATTTCTTGATCAGGGTTTTGCTGCTGGTCTTATGTTGAGCATATCATTCTTTGATTTGGCACATAATGCTCTAAACTCAATAGGCTTTTTGAGGGCAAATCTTTGGGTATTGTTACCATTCGTCACTATCATTTTTTGATTTGATGAAGAAACATATTTTTTAGCTTGCTCAATTTTTCTCTGTCCATTGTAGTTCTTTGCAGGAGTTGTGTTTTTTGCCTTTATTGTCTCTTTCATCCCAGAACCAACAATTACTATAGAAGCAAATAATATACAGGTTTTGATCATTATAATTCACTCTTCAAATCAATTTTGTCATGTTTATATGAATTCTTTTTTTCTATACTTTAAGACTATTATTGATGTTAATCTTTATTTTTTAGCAAAAAAGTGATTATAGATCCTTCATTTACATATATTTGCTTAATTGATAGAAGGATGATGATGGATCAGGCAAAGATTTGATGAAGAAACATCGACGGAACGTACTATTTAGCGGAATTATAACTGCAGTTGGTAGGTTGTTTGGCATGATATGTTGATTTTTTTTTGTTATTGTATAAAGTATGATAATAAAAACAGTTTTATTGACCTTAATATAATTATATGGCCAGCATGATAATTTACGGTAGGTTGTTTGGCATGATATGTTGATTTTTTTTTTGTTATTGTATAAAGTATTATAATAAAAATAGTTTTATTGACCTTAATATAATAAGTATGATAATAAAAACAGTTTTATTGACCTTAATATAATTATATGGCCAGCATGATAATTTACTGTATATATATATATAGAGAGAGAGAGAGAGAGAGACTTGTTGCTGATGATGTTAGAAATGATACATTTAAAAGGATGTGGAGATCAATGTTGGCAGGGTAGAGATAGTGACATTTGGCAGTTCTAAATACAGTGGCAATGGTGACGATGTTCAATAACATGTAGTGGCTGTGGCTAGTGGTGATAGTTGTTTTTAAAAATATTCAAAACACTTAAAAATAGTTTTGTGTATTAATATAAATAGTTAAAAAGTATGCTAAACAAACTTGTTTTTTAAAACTAAAAAAAAAATTGTTGCCAACTTGATCCCAAGTATTTTGTAAAATAATTAACAAGTAGAGTATATATAGTTGCATAAATGTTCCTAAATGAGTTGTCTTTTGAGATTTGAAAAGTTTTGTAGGATGAAAACAGTAGTAAAAATCTTATTATTAATAGAAAAATAATGCGAAATGATTAGATAATAAACACTTGAGTACCATGTTTTAGTAATGTAGAAATATTTAGAATTATGATAACAAATGTGAAACAAGATTATGAGCCATATATAAATGCCTTAGAGAAAATGATAGAAGAAAAAGAAGAAAATGCCATTAGTATTTATAATTAATTTTGTTTTATGCCATAACAAATTTTTTGTGGAGATGAATTTTATGCTAAGGATTTAAATGGAAAAAATAGATAGTATGAAATCTTAATTAGTTGTTTATCATGACCCAACTAAGTTTTTCTTTGAAAAAATTATTTGATGGGTATTGATGGCTTGTGGTGTTTGTAAAAAGTATGTTTTTATAAATTAAATTATTTATAATGAAGAAATATAATCATCAAAAGTTGTTTTGCAGTGATTAAAAAAATCTTAACCAGATTAGGTTTGCTCGAGCAATAACATTGAGTCTATTTATTTACTAAAGTGCTTAAAATATATTTTTAAATTGGATATAACTTGGTTTATGCTATGAGCAAGCTATTAGAATTTTCACGAGTAAGGTTGTTTCTAGAGCATATGAAAAGTTGGAAAATATTGAGAATTTTTTCGTTTTAAGGCCATAATCAGTAGAACAAAAATTCTGATATGGTTTTTTTTCTTTTTTTGAAATGGATGTGGAAATAATAATAAGCCAATATTATTGGGCATCAAGTTATACCTACAAGCACCATGTTTACATATACTTATTTATGTTAAAATTAAAAGTAGGGGTTGAAAGGAGGATATTATTTATCAAATTAAAATGATTAAAATGGACAAATACCAATGAGGCTATGTGATAAGAGAATTATAACTGAAACTTGAATATCAATTTATAGAGTGATATAAGAATTGGCTATGATATATTAGTATGTGTTGGAGAATACAACGATTTGTACTTAAGTGCATCAGAAATGAAAGTTTTAACAAGGATCTTTGGTAAAACTTGGAAGGCTAACATTTAAAATGATTGTATTAACTTGTTTGTGTGAGAAGTACCTCAGACGAAAATTTTGTGAGAATTTTACTTGGGTTATTTTTGCATGTACAATAGTGTGTAGAAGATAAGATTGTAGATAAACCAATCTAAATGGCATGAGAAGGATAGCTGTTAGAGCAAAGAGAGAATTTTACTTGGGTTATTTTTGCATGTACAATATTGTGTAGAAGATAAGATTGTAGATAAACCAATCTACATGGCATGAGAAGGATAGCTGTTAGAGCAAAGGTTAATTGGCTAGAAGTTATGCAAAAAATACTTACATAAGCCAAAATTAACAACATACTACATTAAATTTGAATGAATGGATAAGAAGGATTAATAAAGATGACTTAAATAGTTTTTAATAGTGTAAATGCTATTGGTAAAAGTATAAGCATCCTGGTATTTTACGAACTCCAACTAGAACTCAATTACATTAGAATGTCATTATCCATGTAAAATTGTGGCTACTAATTTTTTAACATACAGTGCTTATTTATCTCTAAAAGGATTTATACAATCTTCACTGTACTAAATTTTAACATACTTATGTTATCTCTAGGTTAGCTATGCCATGCTATATCAAGTTTATTGTTGAATTATTAAAAAGCTAAGCACAAGTTGAAGGTCACTTTTGAATTTTTTATTAGCTAAACTATTTTTTTCTAGAGTATGATATATTTTATTTTACAATCACTTACAAGTATGTTGTAAATTAGCGATCTTAGGGTTTTATAATTTATGTTTGATAAAACAAATTTATTCTCAAAATTTAAAAATAATGTTTTTTGTGTTTGCCATTTGGTAATGATGTGGTATTATCGTAATTGGGAGTTGTTTGTGCATATTGATTTGCTTTTGTTTTAAATGTTTGATTGGAAAAGAATTGAGGATTTTGAAAATTTGACATGCCAGCATGAGTTAGGAAGAATAACTTCAGAAAAAAACTATTAGATTTCAAAACACAAATTCATGAGCTATTCATTGCATTTTTTGCTACATCAAACTTTTACTATGTAGTTTATAGACATATCCTATAATATTGATGTCACATAGTACAAACAACAATAATGTAGTTTATAGACATATCCTATAATATTGATGTCAAATAGTACAAACAACAATGTATTGAGCGATAGTTGGAAATGTTGGTCAAAGTCGCTCGAGACTCCTTGTCGTGTACTGATTTCATCATGTTGGTTATTTAATGGTTTGATGTCCTTTTTTTTCTTAGTTCTTTTAGTTGGGCAATATTTTCAAAAGTCTTGGATGCACTTTTTGGATAATAGTTGTCTACTCCCAAGATGGATGCTTCCTCCCATAATTACTCTCTTTGAGTCACTCGAAGTACTAAAAGAAAAAATATAATATTGCTAACAACTTATTTTAATCATAAATAATAGTTTAAAAGAAACAATAATTGAAATAAACTATAATATTCTAAATTAATAGTAATTATTTATCATAATATTGTAATTTTTTGCTCCAGTTTTTTATATCAACTTCCTTACAAACATGCATATTTTTTCAATTCTTAATTTTATTTTCTCGCCATCCTTTGTTAAATTATCATAATTAAAAATCAACTTTTCTCAAAATATTTATTATTAGGACCAACTCCCAAATCATGGCATGGTACTTGCCTTGACTTCTTGCTATGTGGGCATATGGCTTTAAGTCATCTCCAAGAACGTAAGCAAAATTTCAACTCTCCTTTAAGAACACAACTCACATTCTTTGCTTTCTACGTCTAGTGATTTTTTGGGCTATGGGGCCGATCATTATAAGTTGTTTAAACTAGTGATCCTTAGGTGTCTACCCCTTGCCTTGGAGTCAATTTGACAATCAAA